TGGCTTTTACCTGCTAACCCAACGTTTACATGCCTTGTAAGCCCTAGGGCTGGCTTTACCTGCTAACCCAACGTTTACATGCCTTGTAAGCCCTGGGCTGGCTTTACCTGCTAACCCAACGTTTACATGCCTTGTGAGCCCTAGGCTGGCTTTACCTGCTAACCCAACGTTTACATGCCTTGTAAGCCCTATGCTGGCTTTACCTGCTAACCCAACGTTTACATGCCTTGTGAGCCCTAGGCTGGCTTTACCTGATAACCCAACGTTTACATGCCTTGTAAGCCCTGGGCTGGCTTTACCTGCTAACCCAACGTTTACATGCCTTGTAAGCCCTAGGCTGGCTTTACCTGCTAACCCAACGTTTACATGCCTTGTAAGCCCTAGGCTGGCTTTTTTACCTGCTAACCCAACGTTTACATGCCTTGTAAGCCCTAGGCTGGCTTTTTACCTGCTAACCCAACGTTTACATGCCTTGTGAGCCCTAGGCTGGCTTTTTACCTGCTAACCCAACGTTTACATGCCTTGTAAGCCCTAGGCTGACTTTACCTGCTAACCCAACGTTTACATGCCTTGTGAGCCCTAGGCTGGCTTTACCTGCTAACCCAACGTTTACATGCCTTGTGAGCCCTATGCTGGCTTTTACCTGCTAACCCAACGTTTACATGCCTTGTGAAGCCCTATGCTGGCTTTTTACCTGCTAACCCAACGTTTACATGCCTTGTGAGCCCTAGGCTGACTTTACCTGCTAACCCAACGTTTACATGCCTTGTAAGCCCTAGGCTGGCTTTACCTGCTAACCCAACGTTTACATGCCTTGTGAGCCCTAGGCTGGCTTTACCTGCTAACCCAACGTTTACATGCCTTGTAAGCCCTAGGCTGGCTTTACCTGCTAACCCAACGTTTACATGCCTTGTGAGCCCTAGGCTGACTTTTTACCTGCTAACCCAACGTTTACATGCCTTGTAAGCCCTAGGCTGGCTTTACCTGCTAACCCAACGTTTACATGCCTTGTGAGCCCTAGGCTGGCTTTACCTGCTAACCCAACGTTTACATGCCTTGTGAGCCCTAGGCTGGCTTTACCTGCTAACCCAACGTTTACATGCCTTGTAAGCCCTAGGCTGACTTTACCTGCTAACCCAACGTTTACATGCCTTGTAAGCCCTAGGCTGGCTTTTTACCTGCTAACCCAACGTTTACATGCCTTGTAAGCCCTAGGCTGACTTTTACCTGCTAACCCAACGTTTACATGCCTTGTGAGCCCTAGGCTGGCTTTTTACCTGCTAACCCAACGTTTACATGCCTTGTAAGCCCTATGCTGACTTTACCTGCTAACCCAACGTTTACATGCCTTGTAAGCCCTAGGCTGGCTTTACCTGCTAACCCAACGTTTACATGCCTTGTAAGCCCTAGGCTGGCTTTACCTGCTAACCCAACGTTTACATGCCTTGTGAGCCCTAGGCTGGCTTTACCTGCAAACCCAACGTTTACATGCCTTGTAAGCCCTAGGCTGACTTTACCTGCTAACCCAACGTTTACATGCCTTGTAAGCCCTAGGCTGGCTTTACCTGCTAACCCAAGGTTTACATGCCTTGTGAGCCCTAGGCTGGCTTTACCTGCTAACCCAACGTTTACATGCCTTGTAAGCCCTAGGCTGGCTTTTACCTGCTAACCCAACGTTTACATGCCTTGTAAGCCCTATGCTGGCTTTACCTGCTAACCCAACGTTTACATGCCTTGTAAGCCCTAGGCTGGCTTTACCTGCTAACCCAACGTTTACATGCCTTGTGAGCCCTAGGCATGCTTTACCTGCAAACCCAACGTTTACATGCCTTGTAAGCCCTAGGCTGGCTTTACCTGCTAACCCAACGTTTGCATGCCTTGTAAGCCCTAGGCTGACTTTACCTGCTAACCCAACGTTTACATGCCTTGTAAGCCCTAGGCTGGCTTTACCTGCTAACCCAACGTCTACATGCCTTGTAAGCCCTGGGCTGACTTTACCTGCTAACCCAACGTTTACATGCCTTGTGAGCCCTAGGCTGGCTTTACCTGCTAACCCAACGTTTACATGCCTTATGAGCCCTATGCTGACTTTACCTGCTAACCTAACGTTTACATGCCTTGTAAGCCCTAGGCTGACTTTACCTGCTAACCCAATGTTTACATGCCTTGTGAGCCCTAGGCTGGCTTTACCTGCTTACCCAACGTTTACATGCCTTGTAAGCCCTAGGCTGGCTTTACCTGATAACCCAACGTTTACATGCCTTGTGAGCCCTAGGCATGCTTTACCTGCAAACCCAACGTTTACATGCCTTGTAAGCCCTAGGCTGACTTTACCTGCTAACCCAACGTTTACATGCCTTGTGAGCCCTAGGCTGGCTTTACCTGCTAACCCAAGGTTTACATGCCTTGTAAGCCCTAGGCTGGCTTTACCTGCTAACCCAACGTTTACATGCCTTGTAAGCCCTAGGCTGGCTTTACCTGCTAACCCAACGTTCACATGCCTTGTAAGCCCTATGCTGGCTTTACCTGCTAACCCAACGTTTACATGCCTTGTAAGCCCTAGGCTGGCTTTACCTGATAACCCAACGTTTACATGCCTTGTGAGCCCTAGGCATGCTTTACCTGCAAACCCAACGTTTACATGCCTTGTAAGCCCTAGGCTGGCTTTACCTGCTAACCCAACGTTTGCATGCTTTGTGAGCCGTCGGCTGACTTTACCTGCTAACCCAACGTGTAATGCCTTGTGAGCCCTAGGCTGGCTTTACCTGCTAACCCAACGTTTACATGCCCTGTGAGCCCTGGGCTGACTTTACCTGCTAACCAAACGTTTACATGCCTTGTAAGCCCTAGGCTGGCTTTACCTGCTAACCCAACGTTTACATGCCTTGTGAGCCCTAGGCTGGCTTTACCTGCAAACCCAACGTTTACATGCCTTGTGAGCCCTAGGCTGGCTTTACCTGCTAACCCAACGTTTGCATGCCTTGTAAGCCCTAGGCTGACTTTACCTGCTAACCCAACGTTTACATGCCTTGTAAGCCCTAGGCTGGCTTTACCTGCTAACCCAACGTCTACATGCCTTGTAAGCCCTGGGCTGACTTTACCTGCTAACCCAACGTTTACATGCCTTGTGAGCCCTAGGCTGGCTTTACCTGCTAACCCAACGTTTACATGCCTTATGAGCCCTAGGCTGACTTTACCTGCTAACCTAACGTTTACATGCCTTGTAAGCCCTATGCTGACTTTACCTGCTAACCCAGTGTTTACATGCCTTGTGAGCCCTAGGCTGGCTTTACCTGCTTACCCAACGTTTACATGCCTTGTAAGCCCTAGGCTGACTTTACCTGCTAACCCAATGTTTGCATGCCTTGTAAGCCCTAGGCTGGCTTTACCTGATAGCCCAACGTTTACATGCCTTGTAAGCCCTGGGCTGACTTTACCTGCTAACCCAACGTTTACATGCCTTGTAAGCCCTAGGCTGGCTTTACCTGATAGCCCAACGTTTACATGCCTTGTAAGCCCTAGGCTGGCTTTACCTGCTTACCCAACGTTTACATGCCTTGTAAGCCCTAGGCTGGCTTTACCTGCTAACCCAACGTTTACAAGCCTTGTGAGCCCTAGGCTGGCTTTACCTGCTTACCCAACGTTTACATGCCTTGTAAGCCCTAGGCTGACTTTACCTGCTAACCCAATGTTTGCATGCCTTGTAAGCCCTAGGCTGGCTTTACCTGATAGCCCAACGTGTACATGCCTTATGAGCCCTATGCTGGCTTAACCTGCAAACCCAACGTTTACATGCCTTGTGAGCCCTAGGCTGACTTTACCTGCTAACCCAACGTTTACATGCCTTGTAAGCCCTAGGCTGGCTTTACCTGATAACCCAACGTTTACATGCCTTGTAAGCCCTGGGCTGACTTTACCTGCTAACCCAACGTTTACATGCCTTGTAAGCCCTAGGCTGGCTTTACCTGATAACCCAACGTTTACATGCCTTGTAAGCCCTGGGCTGGCTTTACCTGCTAACCCAACGTTTACATGCCTTGTAAGCCCTAGGCTGGCTTTACCTGCTAACCCAACGTTTACATGCCTTGTAAGCCCTAGGCTGGCTTTACCTGCTAACCCAACGTTTACATGCCTTGTAAGCCCTAGGCTGGCTTTACCTGATAACCCAACGTTTACATGCCTTGTAAGCCCTAGGCTGGCTTTACCTGCTAACCCAACGTTTACATGCCTTGTGAGCCCTAGGCTGGCTTTACCTGATAACCCAACGTTTACATGCCTTGTAAGCCCTAGGCTGGCTTTACCTGCTAACCCAACGTCTACATGCCTTGTGAGCCCTAGGCTGGCTTTACCTGATAGCCCAACGTTTACATGCCTTGTAAGCCCTAGGCTGATTTTACCTGCTAACCCAACGTTTACATGCCTTGTGAGCCCTGGGCTGGCTTTACCCGCTAACCCAACGTTTACATGCCTTGTGAGCCCTATGCTGGCTTTACCTGCTAACCCAACGTTTACATGCCTTGTAAGCCCTATGCTGGCTTTACCTGCTAACCCAACGTCTACATGCCTTATGAGCCCTAGGCTGACTTTACCTGCTAACCCAACGTTTACATGCCTTGTAAGCCCTATGCTGACTTTACCTGCAAACCCAACGTTTACATGCCTTGTGAGCCCTAGGTTGGCTTTACCTGCTAACCCAACGTTTACATGCCTTGTGAGCCCTAGGCTGGCTTTACCTGCTAACCCAACGTTTATATGCCTTGTGAGCCCTAGGCTGACTTTACCTGCTAACCCAACGTTTACATGCCTTGTAAGCCCTGGGCTGGCTTTACCTGCTAACCCAACGTTTACATGCCTTGTGAGCCCTAGGCTGGTTTTACCTGCTAACCCAACGTTTACATGCCTTGTAAACCTCTATACTTAACTTCTTATTCTCATATCTGACGGTTGTACTATCAAGATAGATTGTTAATTAAGCGACAAAGCTCTTCAAACAGTCTCACCTGTTGTAGTTCCAGGATACGTCGTGGTTGGAGTCGTGGGTGACACCTGCGACAATGACGAACCTTCATTTCCATCACTCGGTTTTACCTCTTTCCTCATACCACAACTTGTATTCAGCGTAATAAAGTCCTCCGTAAGTCCACTGATTACTTCCTTTGTATCAAGCAGATCTTCTTTGGTCTGGTTCAGTTGAGAGGTTAAACTCTGCATGTCTGTGGGTAACTTCTGCTGGATTTTCTGTAGGCCATCCATGCACGATTCAACCTCGTTTCTCATCATCACACAACGTGTATTCAGCGTCATGAAGTCAGCTTTCAGGCTGTCAACTTCACGGAGAACACGTCGGCTGATAATATTGCTAATATATTTTTCTGTCAGGATGTCAGTAATTGCTCGGTTGACTAGACGCCTTATCAGGGTAGGGACGAATGTTCCGGTCAGTTCTTCTTTTAGTGACAACTCAAACTTTTTAAAGTCCTTAATCATTCTAATCTGATTACCACCAGTTGTGAGTTTCCATGCATCAATATCTCTTTCAACCTGGCCAACCCGTGTATCCAACTCTGACAAACTGGCATCAGCCTGTACGTCTTTGGCACCGCAGAGCACGAGACTGATGAATATAATAGTTGGTACCTCCATTGTGCACGTGTACTGTCTAGCGCGCAGCTAAGAGGACGACTGCCTCGCCGCCGGGTAAACGTGGTAATATAGCCCGACTCAAGTGTTTGACAGAATGCCAGCTCGGGGAAACACATGCTCCACCAGTAGTGTGCCTACACGTGGCAGCATAACAACCGACATTGCGATACGTACCTGAGAATATTGAAATGGATATAAGTGCCAAGTACTCCGTAGATACAAGACTGTTCTGTGTATTGTCACTGTTAAAGTAACATCAAATATATTGTAAATAGAAGCGACAAAACCCTTTAGACATTCATCAGAAATCTCTGCTAAAAGCGTTATAGCTGGGATTACACTTTGCCAGTGAAGTGCAGATTCTAGTACATTTGTTGGGTTGAGTCCACAAAGGGGTATTCATAGCTTTCGGCCGTGAGAGTCGTGCCAATTTACATTTATCAGAGGGGTGCACAAAGTCCGTGGTCCACACTACCAGAAGTCCGACTTACATTGTTGTGGCAGCCTCGGTAGCTGAATAAGTTAGATGGCTGACTTTGTGTGCTGGCGATTAGGTGCCAGACCCTGAGAGTGTGGCTTGGAATGCCGGATGAGAATCAGCGTAACTAAATAGATAATGGTGCATGTTCCTGTAGTTGAACCCCAAATAAAACACCTCCTACTTTCATTGAATAATACATATCAGGGGCCTCAATGTATTACTGTACGGGTTATATGTCGCGCATTACATTACAGAGGTTTGTAGGGTAGCCTAAAGGTTAAAGCTTCTCCTCGTCACGCTGTAGACTCAGGTTCGATTCCCCACATGTCGCGATAATTGCTTGAATATTGCTAAATGCGGCGTAAAACGATGATCACTCTCTCACATTACAGGATATAAGTCACGTGTTACTTTACAGGATTTATCGTATATCATAAAGGGGAAGTGTACACGATAAAATCACAGTTATTCTTATGTGAAACAAAATGAAATATTTTCAGTATTTGATATCAATGTTTGAAATTATACACTCATTTTTCTTACAATGAAAGTATAACGTCCCTCAAAATAAGTGCTGAAATGTTATGCCATCATGTGGTCCTTGTTTGCCGAGCTAAACAGTCCAGAGTTACCGCCCTTTGATTATGACGTAATTGGTGCCACTTGAATTTAGACTGGTCTCCTGTCTAGTCCCAAATCAAAAGATAATAATAATGAAATTAATCACGTGAGAAAAGTTTGTGCTAATACGAAAAAAGCATAAGAACTCTAAATGTAAGCAGTAGGACAGATTGATCGTGTGTATTTTCATTCATAACCTCACGTCAATGAAAATACCAAATATGTGCAATAATGTTCACGTACGTATGACATCACTATCGAGAAGAGACATTCTCAAAATACGCCGGATTTTTCGACGGGAAATTTCGTTGTTTCAAGTAACGTGTATACATAAATGTGACATGTAAGTTGTCCGAAACATTCTGACAATCTGCTGGTTCTTATTTTCTTTTTGTTTTCATTGTGACCAAGGGAAATAGTCAGAAATGAGGAGAACTTCCATCGTCGCCGTGCGTGAATTTTTCATCAGTCATGGCGTCACGCTTTCAGAAACTATAATATGTTGTGATGAATCTCGGAAATCATTGGATTACACCTATTTTAGTTAACTATCGCTTGCTACAAAAACTAATGAGCAAGTGTATGCAACAAAGTAGGCGAACAGATACACAGAGTGAAATCAGAATTCGACTTTGTTTACATTTCAAACGACGTGGTCCTTTCCCAGCGCGGCATCAGATATATTTCCTTAGATTTAACTGAAAACACTTGATATTGGTGACAAAGACCATTTGATATTTATTACCTGTATGATGAATTCAGGGATTCGTGTAAGAGTACGTGTGACGTGATTTTATAAACACTCTGCAATATGGCTGAAAATTCACTCTGACGTTAACTAAACTAACTGTGTGTATTTCGTAATGTGTCAAAACTGGCCAGAATTGCGATGCAGTATACTTACCTTACAATGAGCAGATGATGTCATAGAAAACAGAATTTCAAACAGAATTAAAAATGCCAATTGCTGTATTCTTCGTGACGTATTTGGATATGGTATCGATCATGTCGATCATGTCGATAGGTGGAAAGAGTGGAGGTGGTTGGACATGTATTAACGATTTATGTAGGAATTATGTAACAGACGTAAAATGCCGGCACATTCACCGATGGCAAGCTAGATGTAGTGCATAAACGTTTTAGTTTTTGTGAAAAACGATAATGTAGAAAGACGACCAACTCATCTTCAGTGTTGTACAATTTGGTTACGTGGTAACACTTGTTTTGCATTAAATTACAATGTGTTACTGTTGTCTATTATATCACAGTACATATATGTAAAGTGAATGTAGTCATTGTTCAGGTATCAGGTCCTCTTCAACACTAAAAGATGATTAAGGAAAGCAACGGCTTGCTTACAAACGACGTTCTAAGCACCATGGGTATGTTGCCCCCTGGAATGGTGAAGATATTGTCCGACCTAGTGTGGTCATCAAAATACAGCATTATCTCTGGAGATGTTATGTACAGCATGGAAATACTCGCACCTGAGCCTTTGTCGGCGTCGGAATACAACAAGATAACCACACAGGAGACTTGTGGCCGTATGCACATGTCGGGCGTAGCTAACGTCAGGCGTAACACACTACGTCGGGCTTAGCAGCGCCCTGCTCTTACACGTCATGCACAACGTCGGTTAAGCCCAGGCGTTACTACGCCCGGCTTACGGATTTACGTAGAGGCGCAGTGTGCTATTTTCAGATTTACAAACGTTTTTATACCACCGGGAAATGGCGCGAAACAACTTCGCGGGACATTCGTTGCAGCCGTAATCATGGAAGGTCAAAGAAAACCGAGAAAACCAACTTTACTGATGATGAAATAATATGTCTTTTGGAGATGTACGGAGACAATAAGGAACTTCTCATCTCCACACTTTCAAACAACATAACTAATCGGCGTAAACAAGACGTTTGGAAGAAAATTACAAACCTGATCAACTCGAGATCGTCTGGCATAACCCGGGATTTGGATGAAGTAAAGAAAAAGTGGAAGGATCTTTTGAGAAAAGCTAAGAAAGACATTGCTGCGCATAAAAACCCAACAACTGGAGGAAGTCCTCAACACAAAGACTCGGCTTACACGTCCTGGGTTTTAGACATTATCGGTACAGAGTCATCGTCTCTTGTCGGTATAGAGGAAGGTGTAGAATCTGGCCATACTGTTTCGGCACCGTTTTCACAGATATCACGGGCATCATCAGATTTCCCTGAACCATCAACTTCGTCAGTACTCCAGTCATCAGCAACGACCGTCGGAACATCAGCAACAACGACAGTGACTGCTCCCCAATGGCCTGACACCACCCCTCAGTCTTCTGAATATGGTATGTAGGCTAGGTCCTGGCCATGTTTTTAATTGTTTTCTTATTAGCAGATCTACATCTACCAATGTAGATTAGTTCAGTTTACGAACATTTATCAATCTATTTACGCATATAAATTTACGAACATTGATTTGTTCATAGTAGTGCAAATTTATATCTATCATATCTTCAAATGATAGAATTTAGTAGATCTACTAAATTTGTTCAAGGCTATGGGTCTAGTTGAATTGGGGTTTTTACACCATAAAGTATATTCTTGTTTGTCTCAAATGTGTAGATTGTCACAACTCGACAACATATAAAAAAACAATACTATAGAAATTTTTTGTCTACTTGATTCAAGGGAGATAATTGGTCTAGTGGTTAGTTACGTCGCCTTCTGTACTGGTGACCTTGGTTCGAAACCCCACAGAAGAACTAACATTTCTATTTTATTTTATTTTTTTGGATATTGATTTTACATTGATTTACAATTTTACAATTTTGTCGATCTATAAATGTTAAGGACATGAATGTTTTAATGAATTATCGGTTTAACATTTGCAAATAATTTTTACACCATGACCCTCCTTTTTAGACAAGAGTGCGCCGCGTCTCACGAAGCGAAAGGCCACTGATGATGACCTCTACCAGCAGCTGCTAGCTCAGGAGATCGAGAGGGCCAAAGCACAGACTGAGAGAACACACGTTGGAACTGAGAGAGCAAGAGCGGAGACATTTACACTCTTCCTATTCTTCCTGAGTGTTGAACTGAGATATGCAGACTAAGTAATATGCGCATTCTCAACTGTACTGAACTTTAAAGTGATATGATTCAACTACATTTAAACCTTACTTAGTCACGTTATGTATGAAATGAGTATGTTTATTCAAGTTAATTACAGTAAAATATCTTTAATGTAATATTCAACAATATTATTGCAGTGTACAGGAACTGTATTGGAATTATAACATTGAGCTCTCAGAATGTATATCTCTGTTGTTATTTGAAAACTTTGATGGAATGTACGCTGAGTCTGCTGAGTTACTGCCCAAAGAATCTCTGAATTATCCTGTCTCTTTTTAACTTGGCATTGTGGGGTTCGGTTACGTTGTGAATGTCCAATCATTGTCACCATTGTCATCGCCCTCATAGTCGTCTTCGAGTGGCGTCCCGAACTCAATAGCCATGTTGTGTAGCACAAACACTGCACTTATAATAGCGCAACATCGTTTTGGTGGGTATCTTAACTCCGAGTGAACGCAATGGAACCGGGGCTTTATCGTCGAAGCATCTCTCAATACAGTTTCTTGTTGATGCATGTGCATAGTTATAACGTTCCTCCTGTCTTGATCTGGCATTCCTGACTGGTGTCATCAGCCAGGTGCGAAGAGGGTAGGCACTGTCCCCGAGAATGATGCCGTCTATTTGTCTGTTTTCAAAATCAACAAACATTTGACTCTCCCTTAGCATCCGCGAGTCATGAACAGAGCCGGGCCACTTTACAATACAGTTTAACACTCTCAGACTTGCATCACATTCACCTTGAACATTTATAGAGTGGTACCCTTTTCTGTTGACATAATTATATTCTTGTTCTTTTGGAGCCTGGATCCTAACATGTGT